ATTTAGGTAAACGCTCTACTTCAGCTTCAGTATAAATATTTTTTTGAAATTTCCCTCATTTCCATTATGGCTACTTCCTTGTATATAGTAAATGTTATGTTATATAGAGATTATTTAATGGGAGAGATGGTATATGAATTTTATTCTGTGGGAAAATATAATATTGGCCAAGGAAAATATCATATTGACCGAGGGCAATAGCCCAAGTGTCAAAGTGATATTATTCGAGATCAATATCATATTTTCTCAGGGAAAATATTAATACTCCAACACAACTGAAACTTATTTATAAGTTTTGAATGTCATCACCCAGTGATGGTGTGATATAAAATGATACAATTGAATTCTTCTGATATCGGATCCAATATGGGATCTGATACAGGATTTTGCCTGATGCGAAATCTTTTTTTTTTTCCCAGGGAAAACATGCTATTATAATTATGGAATACATATTTATATACAATGATCTTTCCTTTACAGCACAAAGAGAAGAGGAGTTTCTCAAAGATTGCAGTAGGCTATACAGTGGGAAAATACAGTACATCCATCTCTGAATGAAAGCCTTCATTGAGATGCTGCTAAATATGTGTTTGATTTAGAAAACAACACTGGAGTCATATTGGACAAAAACAAGGTAATGTTTGTTTTATCACTGATGGCCAAGGGGAAAGGCAGGTGTCATTCTCGGCCTAAAGGCTGAGAGGCCGTTTCTTTGTACTTTTCTTTGGCATTTTTGAAAAAAGTGGACCCAAAGCTCATTTATTTAAATTCAAGTCCCGCAAGTCAATTTCCAGAGCCAACCCTGAACATATGTGTATTGCCATTATTGTGACACTATAACCTTTTCATAAGATTAATTAGACTAATCAGAAGACTGATTATAGAGTATTTTATAGGTCATGTACAGAAACAGGTCACTAAATAAAAAAATAAAAACATTTTGTAATGTATGAATTCAAATCATGAAGTAAAATGATATAAAGTACTGTGTATGAAAAAAATGAAAATTCGGCCTAAAATGAAAAATTTGGCCCAAAATGAAGATTTTTGAAGGAAAAATAATTTAATTTTAGAAAAGAAAATTCGAAAAATGAAAAATCATGATCCTAGGGAAATAAACCCCACGTTCAATCCCTCCAAGTAAATAACCTCTATGCATTTTCTCATTATAGATGGAATCAGGCAACCCCCAGTTAGGAAAAAACTTTACGAGAGACCGATTTCAGCTACTTTTGCGGTTCTGGCACATGAACAATAATGAGGTTGCATTAGTTGAAGACAAGCCTGGCTGCAACCCCTATATCAAGGTCAGGTGCTTGATTTCTGCGTTCAACGAGAATTCTGCCATAATACTCTCCATGAAAACATTGCTCTGATTGCGGGACTGGTCTCTATGAGCAAGAGGTAAAATTTTTACCTTGATAACTTTCTGTGAAAATATGTAATACAAGACCCTATTTTTACACTTTTATATTTTGCTTTCACATTTAAAACATATTCACACCACAGGAACATTGCATAACTTTCCTGGTTAATGCCATATATCTTTAGACAAGTTACATGAAATAACTTTATTTTATTTTTTTTCTTTGTTCCTCTCAGACATTTGATTTAGTTTACCCTGAAAACAGAAGAATGGTACTACTGAAATTAAATCAACAAAAATAACAAGCAATATTCATCTGTCACAACTTAGTCCAGTGTAATTTTGATTGTATATATTCGGGGGTACATTGTTATTAATTGACCTTTTGCGATCAGAATTCAGGAATTTTGTTTATGGATACTGTTGTCACGTGTTTAGTCTTATTGGTGTGATGTCACATAGAAATGATATTAGAAATGATGGAATCACGAAATGGCGGACACGTGGCAGTTTTGAGCTAAAAATATTGTCGTTTCTTTTATGAAAACCATGGGTGGGATATTTACCGATGCCGATTTGACTAGATCATGAGTTTATCTATGTATGTGCGAAGTTTGGGTGAAATTCATATTAAACATCGATGCCTATAAGCGCCCCCCGTTTTTGTCAAAACCGGGGAGCGCTTAACCGCTATCTAAATCATGTCAGTAAGATCTTAGACTTGGTATATGCTTAGCATGAATGTTGATCTAGTCAAATCGAACGCGTTTGTGAAAAATTAATCAATAAAGCATGAAATATAGAAGATAATCTCTCAAAATCAAGCATCTAAAGCTGGCTGGCCTAATTGTGACGTCACTAAAAGATAGAATCCATTCGTTGATCGCAAATCGTCAATTAGACATCAATAGTTTGTCATTCCATATATGTGAGTGAGGAATATAACAGTGAATAATAAAATAAATATTTAATTCTATTTTTGGTGAATGCTTGACACTTGACGCTTTCACAAGATATTCCACTTGCACTTCGGGCTTCGTGAAATATCACTAGTGAAAGATGCACAAGTATTCAACCTCAATAGAATTAAATATTTGTATATTATTTCTGACTGGTGTATATTGTAACTACTAAACAGTAGAAAGAACACATTGAACAGACTCAGTGAAATACATGTCTCAAGAAAGGAATCGTGGTACATAGATTTGTACAAAATATTTATTGAATATATAGCGCATTTTCTGAAATTTGTTCATATGATAAGTAAAACTAATATTTGTTATACAAATGATAATCAGATAGCCTAATCATTTACATATTGCAGGATAACAACCGATGGGGACAGTGGATAGCACAGATCAAATGATCACACAGTGATGGATGAACTAAATTGCAAATTCTTACAAAATGTTACATCCACTTACCCGTTGTCATGGTAACAGATATTGATATATGTATGTGTGAAATTCTCTTATCTTCTATACATGTATTGATCCAGAATGATTTAATTAACTTCATATTTATATTATGTATTGATATCAGTAGACAAAATAAGATACAAATGTAATAATTAATTGTTTTTGTAATACCATCAATATTTTGGTAAAAAATCAAGGATTTTAGTAGAAAATGAGCTTTGATAAGATTATAAACGTTATGGTCGGCCGACGGTGCTATGTATTGTTCCAAATATAATCTGCAAATGACAAATTCATGGGCAATTATATTTTTGTCTAGTTTTTTGTCCTATTTTATAATTTATATTTGATTGGATGTGATGTAGGGGCAAATGGATTAATTCATGATTACCTATGAATTGTATTTTACAGCGTTATTTTTCTAATAAGTAAAATGGCGGCCATATTGATGACGTCATATCTAATTTGCATATTTGAATAATTTATTCATCAAGATAATCATTTTAGCTTTCCAACGATGTATCATACATGGTTCCATCGGAAATAATGACTAAGTTATGAAGTCAGATATACCGAGGCCTAATTTTCTCTATTTTACCATGAAAAGTCTAGCACTGAGGCAAAAGCTCTTCATTCTTGAATTAGCAGCAAAATGAAATATTTGCCTTTTTTTGTAGCATTGATAGGGTTAATTACACTAGTTCATGAGCTTTCTGATTCCTTATTTAAAATAAATCACAAAACATAAACATGCTTTCATAAAGTGCATTCTTTACGATGGAGCTTATCGTCTATCGCAGCTATGGGAAGAATTGAAATACTCTTGGACCAAGGATTTAATGTTAAAAAGGGACTTCAAGTGATGAACGGGAGTATACTTGTAGGTACTAGATGTATAGAAGACAGGACGTGTTGAATGAAGTTCGTGTGTTATTATTTGAATGATGAAACTAATATAGTAAGATGTATCTAGATTCTTAGCAAAGAGGCCGATGGCAGTTAGCTGAGTTATACAATTGCATTTGCATCTCATTGTTTATAGTCTAACGTAATTTGCATGGATGGTTTAGGGTAGGTATTCATTTGAAGTTTTGAATTTGAGAACATCCTTGGAATTCATCGTTTCTGAGAATTCAATTGTGCCTAATTCAATATCGTGATTATTTTGAGGATTCTTGCATTGGGGAAATGAGCGTGTTTTATGAGCGTGTTTGTTTGATATCATGAGGACAAAGGGGGCCTGTGTGGTGATCAAGATTTACATGATGAGCTGAAGATAATCAAGGGTCTCTTTTACTTTATTTTGACTTTCAGTTGAAATCAAATTGATCGGCATAAGAAGACAGAGGCGCACAAGCTATGAACAATAACCCAGATGCGTAGGTACTTTAATCACCGGGTAACTAATTAAGGTAGACATTTTTGTGGTCTATGGGGATTCTCTCCGACTTAGAAGTCAAATTTTCAAAGGAAGAGGTGCGTTTATTGGCAAATACCCCTATGGTCAAAATGAATAATTCTTAGGTGTAACATGAAGAATAGAATGTCATATAACTCTTTGGAAAATGTTAAAGTGCTCGGGCACACATAGGCTGAGATAGGGGCCATTTAGTTTAGTGAGGTTGTATTGACTTACATGGGGCTGTTCATCATTGACTTAACATGAGGATATCAGCAGATCCCAATAGAGGCCATTGGTTTCTATTGATTATACCAAAAATACCAAAAATACACTATAACCTGAATCGATTGCAAACTTAACTAGACTTTGGAAATTGAACGAAGTTCAATTTCAGACTCCAGATCTAGACTTTTTAAAGCCCAGTCATCTAAAATAAGCCGAGTCATCCAGAATAAGCTGAGTCATCCAGAATAAGATGGATGGATAAAATAGGAAGGTAGTATAGGATAGAATGAGAAGGATAGAACAGAATAGGAAGAAAGGATATGATAGGAGAGGATAGGAAGGATAGGAAGGAAAGGATACGAAGGAAGGATAGATAGGAAGGATAGGATCAGATAGGAAGGATGGATGGATGAATTTTTCAATATTTTCTTCTCTTCTCTTGACTTTCTATCAGGATACCATCAGATCAATTTTCCGAATTTTCCCTTATAGATCTAATTTTATATGTAGATTTCAAATATGATATCACTTTGTCTCTTTTTAATTTCTAATGACGCAAATCAAGATTATTTTCACAAACAAAATAATTTTTTTCAATTCAATTCAATTTATTTCATAATTTCTTACATACACTATAAAATTATGCCCCTAAACGCCCATGGGCATATATTCCTATTGAATTTATCATGATATAACTTATACATAGATAGTTATATATTATCATATATTATTTAAAATATCTTGTATGTCTTGAACATGCTTGTATTTCCATTTCCGTGTAGATCGCGCATCCTTCGTGTCCGTAACCGTTTTAACATCTGACTCCTTGGAGGAGGTCGTTATTCCCACTCGGATTGTTCGTCACCTTATTCTGTAGGGAGCTGAAATGTAACAAAAATTATATTATGGTAACAATATCACTATGTATGATAGTGATGTAAGTTATTGTGGTTAGAGTATGTATGTGGACTTTATATTTTATGTCGTACAAATGCGCTATATACTGTGTATGTAGCTATACTATATTTTGGGAACAATATTTTGTGTGAACATTGTAATTTAGCCGACATATACTCTTAGATTTGAAAATTGTCAAACTTAATGAATGTCTCAAAGAATGCGAAGTTGATGCAATTCCGTCAATACAATTGAAATTATTTATGCATTGCAAGCATCACACCTGAGATCGGGGTCAGCTTCAAACGAATATAGTATCAGTAGAGGATAGTATCAATGCTGAGATCAACATTACGTCATGTCTGTTTAGGATTAAATTATTTACTGAAGGACAGACTTACTTGTTTGTAAGCCAGGTCATCACGGTAGCAGGGCTTGGGTTTCCACTGATAGTGCTAAGGTAAGCAGCTGCAACCCCGGCCTATAATATATGATAAAATATAAGCGCCCCCTCTTGATGTCATTCATATAATTATATAGAGATGTTTTAGACTTAAATGTTATGTACCATTGATAAAGTCATTCAAACTTGCAATAAAGTATAGCATTTCTCAAACAGAGGGTTTATCAACTTCCCAATCATGACATCACATATACATAATGACAAATACTAAATCACAAATAAGAGATTACATGGTGAGACGAGTGATATACCAATAAATATGGAAGGTATAATTATATGATATGTAGTTCTCTGAGATATATGAGCCAGATATTATACCACCCGAGCTCATCCGAAATAGGTGCATGTGAATGTACAATAACATGCAAGTATGTAGTACTTACAACGTGTGGGGAGGCCATTGAAGTACCACTGATGGTTCTGTAGGCGTTCACGTCGAATGCCCATGCACTGAAGATACTTGAACCCTAGTGAAATAAATTGAAAAATCACGTTGCTGAAAGACTGTGTCAGCCCACAAAACATCAAATTCAACGTTGCCGTGTCAATCTATGTATGAGCAAAATGACCCCCTTGAGCCATCGTCAAACAATCATTATCACAACTAAAAATCACCTAGCCACCGAAAACTTTGAAATACCAATATTAATACCAAGACATGAAAAGTATGAATACACTTTCTGAGAATTTTATTGCAGGGCTATTATATCAAGAAGATGCTGTGAGATTAGAATAATAAAGTTTCATTATGTGAAAACCCAGTTTTTTTAACTATTTCATTATAAAGCAACCATTAATACTCACTGGTGCGTAGATGTCTACACATGATCCGTAGTTTGAGAAAGAGGATCTGCTGTCAGAATTGGTAGAGGAGGCGACGGTTATACTAAAACATAAATACAATTTTGAGTAAAAAAAGTTAAGAAAACATATGAAATATTGGTTGTTTATGTCAAATAAAATCAATCTAGACCACCGACCAAATAGATGTCTCTACAATCTAGTCTACCGACAAATAAATAATTCTCAATTGGAATAGTCTACGTACGCCGCAGGAAGACGTGCCGGTGATGCATCGCATGCGTCTCTATTGGAATTTCCAGCGGCAACTACACCGACGATTCCTTCAGCTATTGCGGCACCGAGGGCATTGTTCATGGTGACGCTGTTACATGTACATCCCAGAGACATACTGTAAACACGCAAAATAAACTACACGACATTTGAATATTGAAGACCACATGCATATGTATGTACTGCAGTTAGTCAGTTATATATTAGTCCCTATGAGAAGATCAAGAGGTAACATTTAGTTTATCTGTCAGACAAACCAGACAGCATCATTTTGAAGTCTTTTTAACACCGCTAAACTAATTCTAGATTCAAAATATGACAAGGATGAACATTAAACACAATCAAGGCTTATTTAATATCTTTGGATTTATCACGTATATTCTTAACCCTATCACTTACTTGATGACTGCCTTCCTTCCCCTGCTCCTATACTGCTCGACGATCCAGTTTAATCCGTTCACAATTCCACTGAAAACGCAAGTTAAATTTCTAACCTACAGATACCAATATCTTTGATAGCCTTTTTTGTGTTGAAAACGTTTTTTTGTATAGACCAGCTCTTAATTTGCAATTCTTATTCCAAAAATCTTCGAAAGCAGCTGTGGTTTAATAAACACATTCCTTTGTATAGACTAGCTCTTTATCTGCAATTCTTATTTTAAAAATATGGTATGAATTTATATTGTAAAGAGAAGGCCTGAGCAATAAGGAAATATGTTGGCACTTCTGAAGGGTTTAATCAGCAAGAACGAAATTTCTTACGATGTACTTCCAGAACCACCGGCAGACAGAACTTTAACAGGAATGATCGTCACATCTCGAGCAACTCCAACTGTTTTCCCACCAACAGTGCCTAATATGCAAATTAAAGAAATATTGATAACGCGTCAGGATGTTATATTAAAGTGTCTGTGCGATGCTCATTGGGTCAAAATTCAGTTTATACATGTTTTAAATGAAGTAAATACCACTTACAAGTCAAACCATTAGTCTACATGTACCGTTCTTGTAAATCTTTCTATAAATGTGAAATTTGATGTTCAAAATCGGGAACCCAATGTCAAGTGCCAATCATGACATCACGATCAGAACAGGTTTTGATCATGTTGCTGGAGTTTATGATCTCCGAACGTGCTTATAAAGCTTCAGTGTAATTGATTGCCACTGCATTTAATGCAGTGCGGAAATGATTCAACTTTGACTACTTTGGAACCACGATTTTCCCACCGATGAATGAAAAATATAATACCTCAATTAGAGCTCCCTACCCTGTGGTGCGTTTTCACAAAGCTAGTCATGCAGAAGTACGTTCTGGCCAGTCAGAATACAGTGTAGAAACTATACACGTTGAGTTGATCCTGTTACATAACTCAATGCTGTTTGAAATCTTACAACCAAAAGGCATTGAACCATGAGGTGATTTTGAGAAGCGTTACTTCTTTCTGGCCAATCAGAACACAGTATAACATGAACACTTTTGAATTTATATTCGAGTTGCATAACACATTGCCGATTAAAATCCATAACCGGTTCTGATCATGACGTCATGTTTTTTTCGAGAAATCTTATTATGGAACTGAAAGACAATCAGATGAATATGTGAGTCTGTCGGTATACTGTTTCTACCAACCAATACCCGTTGAATCAATTTGTGTAAAAAAAGAAATGGAAATTACCGAATTAGCACTTTAACATATTTCAAAGTTGATGTATTCGGAATAAGAGTTTTGAAAATAAGTTCTTAGATGTTATAATGACGAGAGAAGGTGTTCATTTAATATCTCATGAGTTCATTCATTGCCCAATTCTTCGTTATAATTCAAGATAAACAACTTAAATGCCCATGTCTTAGAAAAACTTCATACCAGCCACGTGGGTTCCGTGTCCATTGTCGTCATTTGCTGAGAAAGAAGTTCCATCTACAAAGTTTCTTCCCTAAAACAATAATGTTACGTTATTGGCATGATACCCTTTTAAAAACATATCAGAGTGTGTGTGATTACATGTATTTAAACTTTTTTTATCAAACTATTTAAACCTGGACTTCTGCTCACAGTCTTCCCGAGAAAATAAATAGATAGACTGCAATTTAAATGTTCGAACTCGGCACAGGTATGTAAAATGGTTGTAAAAAGTCAAATGTTTCTTAAACATTATTTAACTTTGATTGTAATACACAGTGAATAAAGAATAAGACATGAAAACCACGTCTTCCTTATCAAAACTTACAGGCTCAACACGACCACAGAATTCTGTATGCTGGATGTTAACACCTCTGGAAGAAAGTCACTAAAATTATCATGTATATCACTCGCAACAGTTGCGAACACCTTTCGTCTATTATCTATTTTCTTTACACAAATGAACTCTGCTAACATTTTACATTTGTAAAATTATTAATCATTTGCATAAATTAATTGTTCATGCTGAGTAGGTAAAACTAAGAATAATAGTATTTTAAAAGAGCGATACGATTTAGTAGAATGATCATCTTCTATGACACATTTATATAAAGCAGGTATTAATAGTATGCATTTATCACATATATCAAACAGATCCCCATGTTTATGTCATGTATAATCATATAACAACGGAAATACCATCACTTTATGCCACCCGTTGCAATTAAGGTTGACACGAATAAACAAATAAACATCCTCCGATCACAGGGCTTCAAAATCCAGAATATATTCTTTCTTTTTACCCCCTGCGATAAGCAGTTAGCATTTCCCCGATTAAGAATTCGCAATCTGATTGGCTGTCGCAACATTGCGACAGAAATCATGTATAAGTCATTGCGCATAATTAGATCACGTGATTCAGTTTAATCAGGCGCTTCCAAATTGGTTATAGCAGGGGGAAGAAGGAGGTACGGATTCTGGATACCTGCTAAGGAGGATGACAAATAAATAAATACAAAATTCTATAATATGTAGTCTGCTTTGTAAACTTTTGCAATGTACTTCTCACTTACGTGTCTACAATGTAAGCATCGATACCCTGTCCAAGACCATGTGATGTGAGGATGTTATCATCAGTGTCGTCCAGCCTGTCGAGACCCTGAATACAGAGGGTGTAGACCATAGTCAATAGAGTCGTAAAAACATACCATTAATTAACATAATTCTAGGACCAGTGAATATAAATGATGCAACGATATTGGTAAATACATAATCGTTTTGTAATGGTATAGTATATGGCTTCTAATGAACTGCTTTAACCGAAATAAAAAAATGCATGAATGTATTTATTTTCAACTATTCGTGAATAGTTGATACTACTGTATTTCACTTACCCAGCTTCTTACAGATCTTGGAGCACAATTGACAATATCGGAACCGCACGTAGGTGTTGTTCCGCCACTTGTAGTTGTTGGTCCAGTAGTTATTGGTGAAATGGTTGAGGGTGAACTGGTGCTAAATGAAGATCCTGTCGATCCAGATGTCATTGGGATTGTGGCGGTAGTAGGTACGCACGTACAAAGGTTACCATCGCTAGTTGTGAAGGAAGTAGGAGCAGTTGTTGTTGTACCACAAAGACCGAACCTTCTACAAGCACACCTTGGACGTTCACGACATGGTCGTCTTCTTGTTGTGTTGACAAGTGTTCCATCAGGGTTGAGAATAACGAATTCCACTTCCTCAACGTCATCATCTTCTTCACTGCCCTCCCCTGATTCCTCAATTGATGGGGTGCTTTTGTTAATATCTTTACCCTTTCCTTTACCTTTACCCTTAGTGTTTTTGTTCTTCTTTGGTTTGTTTGTTGTGTCTTCTTCATTGGCGTCATCACCTGATGGCCCAGTTGTGGTTTTACCCTTTCCTTTACCCTTAGCTTTTTTGTTCCTTCTTGGTTTGTTTGTTGTGTCTTCTTCATCGGCGTCATCTTCGTCATCACCTGATGGTCCGGTTGTGGTTTTACCCTTTCCTTTACTTTTACCCTTAGCTTTTTTGTTCCTTCTTGGTCTCTTTGTTGTTGTTTCTTCCTCATCGTCAAGTGGGGGTGTTGCCATAACTAAATTAACCTCCATGTTTTCTTCCACTGACAGGACGATTTCATCATCAAAAATTGGATCAAGATCTCTAAATAGAAAGTATATAATTTACAATTTTACTCATTTTTTTATAGGAAGGACAGATATATTCACTTATTGTATCTCATCAAGGGACATACATTAAATCAACATTACGACTGAACACATTTATCACAAATTCGAACATGACTCAGTGACTGTATCCGTGCCTTCTGTAAACTGTGAACAAAGTCCATATTTCACCCGGTATGTATTCAGAGACACAACACCTGGTAATACGAGAAATGTGTGACGTCATAACTGTGGGCCGTATTAAGGGCGGGCAATAATGAATGGTCCCATAAATATTCGAAAAATGCTGCCAAGTTTTCATGTTCGAATCGTAATATAGACCTCAGAGCAGGTTTGATGTCGACGAATACATACCTAAGGGCTTGGCACAAAAGCTTTGGAACCGTTTAGAAAACGTTATATATTAGCCCTGCGGTATATATTCGTCGATTTAACACCTGTTCTTCGGTCAATTTTTTTAAATCCTAATATGATATGTGACGTCACAATAACTAGAACAATGGATTTACTGGTCTATACTCGAGTATATATGTCCTCTAAATATAAATGCAAAAAGTTGTTTGGTTTGTTTATTACATAAGACCTCGATTCTATTATTTATGGCAAATACATGACCTCAGATTTTATTCTGGCCATTGCCAAATACCTCTTAATCGCTACGCGAATAAATTTCTGTCATATATTGCGCCATAAATCATAGAACCTCGGTCTTTATTCCTTAAATAATTGATTTTCGCTTTGATCCACTTCCATGTTAAATATTGACGTCATTCAATTTCATCAAATACACGTATGTATTGTTACTAACTACAGCATATATCGGGTTAAAATCCTATTTCCTAAACCTATGAAGTTTTTATTGATTCTCTTTGACATTTTTGAAATTCTCTATGTCAACGAGTTTACTCTTTCGTTTTATCTTACACGTTTTTTGATTCACTTACTCTTCATCGAGACATGCCACTGTATAACCGATGAAATTCCCTATATCAATGAGTTTACTCCTTCGTTTAATCTTACACGTACTCGACCCATCAACAAGCAGAGTTTCGGCACCAGCATTATCGTCATTATCTTTCTTGAAGAGAGCTCGAGTCCTTTTAAGATGTTGCCTAACTAAAGAAAGATGATACGCTGTGTTAATATCTTTCAAAATATAAATTTTCCGAATGACAATTCAAATATGAGAAAAAAGTTAAAAGTGTCTGGATAACTCACCCTGTTTCTTTGTAGAATTTGGATCAAGTTGGACAATGAATTGTTTCTTTATTTTTTTCGCTTCGTTAGATGCTTTAATGAGTTTCCTGGCTCCTGAAAACGAAAATAAAACGATGTCTTCTATAAGATACAATCAATTTAGGAAAACATATAATCATCATAATTCTGTAGTTAAAATGATTACATTTTTCTGCATCTTGTTCTATCTGTTCCACATCCTCTTAAACCGTACAAATCACTTCAAATGTCCCAAACTCAAATAGCATCTCCATTTAACCAAGTATTTTAACCTGACTATGTTTGACTTAGTTTTGACTTTTTGAGAATTATAGTACGAACGCTATGGATGGATTGTTTGGGGTAATTTTCTTTTTTTATAATCTCGAGTAGCTCATGTTCTAGCTCAAGGAAGTCATAGCATCACAGGTGCCATTAGCTTTGTCAATACTTTGGAAAGAAATATACTTTAAGAAAAAATCCACTGCCAGACAATTATCGAGACAATGTAGATTAAAAACGTGATTCGAGTGTTTTCAGACGCTCCAAGAAAACTCAACTGAAAATGTATGCAATGACTCACAATAGCGGTGTGGGATAAACATTTTATCCCAAAGTATCATATGTTCATTAGATTGATCTCCTTTGACCAATATGATAGACCTGCTCTAAGGGGAATCTACTATATATAATCTAAATGTATTGAGCCTTTATAAAATAATTTTTATTGTACATGGCCAACTTACGATTTCCCTTTCCTTTCTGGGCATCGGTATTGGCAGCTAAGATAGCAAGGGTTATCAGAATAGCTAGAACGGCCCCCTTCATGGCACCAGTTCGATTTGCTCGTACTATATTGTAGAAAACTACAAGGTAAAAGGACCACTTATTATAATACACATGTTCTAGAGGCATTTTATATTGGCCTCTTCATAATCCAAAAGGACCACTAATAAAGATGGGACCTTTATTTATTTTGTAACTTTTTTAAACTTAACTTATAAACTATACTAAATAAAATTAATAAAAACTAATACTATAATTCAAATTTACGATGCTAAATACATGATTATAAATCTGAAGTTTTGCTGGAAGAAAGAATCAATTTTTTTTAGAAATAACTGTAACAAAGAATATAGCCGAGCAAATGATCTAAAATAGAAAAATATAAATATCGATCGCTAGCTAGACCTTCAATTATATATTTTGAGGAATAACTAAAACTTTACCTTATTTATCGTTGATATTCTGCCCTGTGAAAATCCTCTCCGTGTTTTGAGCGCGTTGATGTCCACCCGTTTGAAAGTGATGATTAATGATAACCCAGTAGTCCTTATATACCAAAAACAGTGCAAACAAAGTCCCAGGTATTTTCTAATTAGTCTTTAGCCTACGTAGATACATGTAGGTTACGTAAGTAGTGTCATGATAATCTATTACAGTAATTTTTTGGCATTTCCCAAATACAGGTGTATATAATTGTTGCGTGAATCAGGCTATGTACATAATCACAATATAGCAATACCAACAAGTCAAAAATACTTCTAGTATATGTAGATGATTTTATTTTTTATTTTTCATGTATGCACAGTTAAGGTTCACCTGCAATTTAAAGTTTACCTATTGTTATTACAATGGGCCCTTTCGCTTATTATGTGAATAAGTGAAATGCTTTTTGAAAAGAACCAAGAATGATGGTTCGCTTTCAAAATTACATTTATTTTGAGTGAAGAGGAATCATATGTTTTTGAAATCCACTCATTTCATGTTTCAAATTATGAAATTGTTTCATGGTTTGGAACAGTTGTGATTTATACCATAATATATACCATTTATCTGCAAAAACGATGAGGACCTTTTGTTCAAAGTTGACAATATATGCAACAAGAGAAAACAAAACATAAACTCTAGGTACAATTAGCTTTGGGATAAAAGTACTTGTTCCGATAGATCCTTGAATCAATTATCTCAATGACGAGCACCATAACACCATAACAGCTTGCCCAGTGCAGTAATTAAATGTGTTTGTTTTGTGTCAGTTCTTAAATACAAGTGAATATGTTACATGTATTTATAAAATACATGTAACATATTGGGATATAGGTAATATATAGGTACCTTTCCTATATAAACACCTTCGAACAGAATTTATGAGATGTTAAGGTAATGTGATAGTAAACGATTAAACTTTTATATTTTTCCTACAGAGTTCCCCACGTGAACGGCGAGTCTGTATTTCATCATCATAACATGAATACTATAAAATCGAAGATAAAATTGACCAGAAAGCGCTATTAAGACTATAGCCTGCTCACGCCATTCAGACATGCCACAGCAATGAATAAGTAGCTGTGAGTATACCCATTGTATAGAAAATACTTCTTGCAAAGCGCAAGGTTATCAAAATGTAAATTGATATTAGTAGCACCGCAAGATTGATATGATTCACTTTCTAAAAATAATTCTTAATTTAAGAATGGAACCGGTACCTGAAAAATGAAAATGTTCGCCGAACAATTTTCTTTTTTCTAGTATATTTCATATGTCTATTCTAAATGCTCATAATCTTATGACCATTTCTGAAATATGGTGGAACGAAAGAAAAAGTACCAATATGACTATAAACCAGTACCAGAGGACTGAAATTACTAAGATCTGTTTGGGTTACCTTTTTTGTCCAACTTTATCTACAACTAATCTTGATGCTTCGAGTATTGGTTTATCAATTTATATTTTATTCTTTAACATATGTAATTGCAATAATTCTGTTTGAATGAAATGTCCCTTGATGTTATAGTCCTGGTTTTTGATGATGGAACTTATAGAAATAAAATAAATTACTTTACATTTGACAATTTGTTCTGCATGTTATGCAAGACTTAGAATAAGGTCTACAAATCTAAAAAAAACATTTGGTGGCGAACTTTACACTTTTTTTCGAAAAATGCAACAAAAATCCTAAAACCTTTCGTTAAGGATGTATGTCCCGTTGCAGAACACCTGTTTCGATACTTTGAAACAGCAATGCAGACAGTTTTAAATTTATGTAACCAGATTTAGCTCTCGGAGTGGAGTTAAACAGAGCCCCTTTACGAGGAAAATTAACACAAGTTATACATGTGCAGTATTGATTTATTTTGGCTATAGTCGGGCTAATTGATTTGAGTATATAAAGGTTATTGAGGGTGTAAGCAAATTTAATTTTGAGAGACAATTATTTTATTTCAAATAGATCTGCCCTAGGGAATCACTTTTAACCAACGTATTTTATCGAATCACATTTTGAGCACTTCTCGCTTTCTACGGGTAAAACAATTTTAACAATAATTAGACATCATTTAATTCTCTAAACAACAAAAATACAAAATTTGACCCCATTACTATCTTCTAGATAGAATTTGATTTTCACCACCAAATAAATGTGATGATAAAAAGTAGAAAGATCATATTTTATTTTTCAGGTTTTCGTTGATTTATTTTACGGGAAATATTTCTTTTAAAACTATTCTTAAATAATTCCTAAAAATTGTCCCTTGCTGGAATTCTCAAGGGAACTTCAAGAAACTCGAAGCGATTTGCTTTAAATATGTTATGCACAAGTGACAACGGGAACGTACCAAAATGGTTACAAATCACTACCAGAAAACGAAAATATCTAAAAGTGCACCAGTCAAAAGGAAAACAAATCCAAACTATCCCAAATTATAATCAATCGTGTGCAGAAACAGTATCTTATATCCCCACCTTCAAGTATCAGTATCACAAATCGAGACCATAGCACCATTTCATTCATACTGAAGTCATTACACATATTATGTTGGGAAATAACTTTAAAATTGATAGCACATACATTCAAATATTTGAAAATTAACATTCTTTTCGAAAAATGAATCAAAATCTATTGATGATGCCTTATACGCTCCTTCTCCCACCATTCAAGATTATATATCACATTCCAAGACCATAACAAAAAGGGACATCTCATGCATACTGAAGTCATTACAATACGCGTTGAAAAAACGTAAAATTGATCCTGTACTCGTTTCATAAACATCCTAGATATAGTATTCATACAATATAGAACAATGAGCCTCAAATGATGTGTGGGATAGACAAAATTCAATCTAGACAATATCACAATATCTTACACTGGTCATTAGGAGAAAACTATGGCTGGTTTCGATCTCTATTTTTCAATCAATAATGCCACAGCCGGGAGCCACCTAGAAAAATGCCAAGTGAAAACTTAACACCCCCAAGCATATTAAGTGGCAAACATGAAACTATAGCTTGTGACTTGAACTTTCAGCAAAGCCTCGAAAGTATTTCTTTAGCTTTTACAATTCGGATTAGGGGGTCACTAAATTAGTTAATCTGAAAACATAGGATCAAATCCTATGCTAAGGGCTGATGTGAAAAAGACACTCCACCCTGGTGGGAATCACTAAAATAGGGGGTCACTAAAATATTATGTTGTGGCTTTAAATCTAAATATTTTGAGCATGCCCTTCTATTTCTAATAAAGCTGGGATAAACAGACCCCATGTTCAATTGAATATTGAAATCCAAATGTGGAAAATTAACAATCGACGTTGTCTCTTTAATCATATACTAGCAACTAATAATATACGCTATTGTTTAGTTTTATGTTAATTAGAAGGACAAGGTGCGCTCGTATTCGATTCTTTATGGTATTTTTCAACTCTACATGTAGCTCAATAGGGTATATCTCACTTACACAATCTTTGAATTTAGAGTTGTCTTTGTTTCACAGATCATCTTCACATTTTAGCGTGTATAATGTAAATAACTTTGATTCATGAAATCTAGTTTTATCTTTCATCATCAGTTTTATGTTCATAAAAAATTAGAAAAAT